CATACGGATACACATAGGTGTATACACGTATGAAACATCACGCTCGAAATAACACGTTACTTGCAAACGCTTCGGGGATATTACCAGGGCTCGGCTGATTGAAGAAAAGCCAGCGAAGCTGCGTGTATATTTCGCCAGACTCGGCCATATGGAAAAAAATTGACGTCATGAGAAGTTGACGGTATCGTGGCAGTCGGGGCAAACCATTATTCGGCCCGTTACACTGACGAGAAGAGAAAAATGTTTCCTTCGAAAAGGAAAGGGATCGAATGCCTCGAAAATTATCATCGATCGGCGGCGGGCAACAACCCCCGACCACACACGAGGCACGATTTCGTTTCGGTCCATTTGAAACGACAAATTCGTGAGGATATATCGAAAGTCTCCTGTTCGATACCTTTCGAAATAAGTAATAACGGGTCGTAGAACGGTGTCAATTTCAAAGATTATATCGTTTCACATGAACACGATTAACACCGACGTTTTATTTCCGTTCAAACGAAGAATAGCTACTGCGATTGGTCTTACAAGCTCTAAAGAGGAACGTACGCTCCAATATTTCCTGTAATTCCACTCGCAGACGTTTCAATAGACGTCGTTCGATTTATTCCCCTGATATTTCTCTGCTCGCCGAGTTGGTTCGAAAATATTCACGGTAAAATAAGAAATGGCGTAGCCAGTCGCCCCGTTCAAATGAGGAACACTCGCCGCTCCTTTGTGTCGCGTAAACGAGCTCCGAGATAAACGGGGACGATGATAAACGTAGCCGATTCTCGACACTTGTGCACTTTGTTCGTCGTTTCTTCCCGATCGTCCTCGCCGATCAGACTAAAATGCAATTTCCGCTAACAAGCGTTGTCAGCTAAACAGCCGGTATCGGATCGTCAACCGGGACTGATCGGTTACGTTTATCATCTCGATCGCAAATACCCGCCGTAAAGTTTTAATACCACCCATGCGATGAACGTTTCACGTTCAGTCTTACTTTTCTGTATGCTGTCCACTTCTTGGTTTTACCACTGTCTCGTTCTTGAAGCGTTTCCATCCGAAGCGGGAGGGGTAACTTAATTTACAGAGGGATTGCACGAGGGGTGAGGTGTCGGGGCAAGAGGGAAGAATAATTAAATGGAAAGCAGCCACTCGCCGAATGGAAATACCTTTCAAGAAATGGATGTCGACGTCTGCAGACGCGTCTGCCCACTTCATCGTGGACCACCGTGCTCCCGATTACTCTTCGTTATCTTTCCTCACGAATCCTGATCGAGCCTTGACCCATCCGAGGCTTACTTTCAGTCGGTCGGCTCTGTAGACGGATGAACAACGAATATTTGTCGAACGTTTCACGTAATATGCAATATCATTCTCGTAATGCAAAGAACTCTTCAGATAGCATACAATTTTTCTGAGCGTCGAAGTTTCGAAATGATAACGAGGGTAAGATTAAGAACGCAAGTTAAACGACGATTCTAATGAGAAACATTCACGAGACCGTAATTCAGTATGCAACAGCAAAGTACTCGTATTGCAGCAACTGTGCATCGAGGTTAGGAAGATAAGTATAGGTCTTTGTGCAGTAAATTATGTTTCCATGCAAGCTGCGAGGACCTACATTTATTCGTGACCATAATTTCAAATAAGAAACCTTTGTTTAAAGAAGCATTATCGGTTAACAACCCCAAGAAAGCCGAGCAAATAAAAATGCTTAAGCTCGATTCCATTAACGTGGTATTCATTCTCTACCCGTCCAGGCATCTAAGAAATTCCATTGCATTAAAGATTATCCGGACGATGAGAGCCGTATCGTGAATACCGCGAGCACCATAGGTCATCCATGCTTGAACCCGAACGAGTACAATAGCAGACCATTAATTACATCCAATCATCCCATCAAAGTCAACGGGGTCGAGCTTACGGTTCGACTGACGGAATAATTAAGGACTCATTAAGGCCGACATTGTTTGACCGTCCCTGGCTAAGGGAGACCTCGAATTTTCAACGACGACCGTCAGCATCATCGACGCCATTCAGCAAACGACACCACTTCAGACCACGGACTTCAGTTGGCTGCAATCTGCTGAGTGGTGTGCACACGCGACGTTGTTCGTGTCGGCAACAGCTCGCTTGTTCCACAAGCTTCAGCCAGGTCTCGCGGAAATGCCGGGGTGCTTTGCTTCCCGTTAGACCGTCACGTTAAGAGAAGATACGGGGCCGCAATACGCGTTGCGAAGCCTACCGCAAGTACGGCAATTAGTCCTGGCTGTACGACCGTTTCAATTTCTGTCCCTGCTTCTTTGCTCCCTCGCTTACCAAGCAGGCTGACTTTAGCCACGGAAGTGACTATGAATCGTGTTCCCTGGCAAATAATTGCGGAAGGATTGTGGCGAACTGCGAAACCGTATAAACCAGATTCGTGCCATACGATTGATCGCAGCCTCGTTATAGGTCGTTCAGTAGAATAAGCTAGGTAGTCAGGCCAGTAGAATGGGTCAGCGTATGATCAGGCAAGTAGACACCGTTATCAGGCAAGCTACCGTAACTAAATCCTCGTACGGTGAAAATCCTGATGCGCAGCTTCACGAGGATTTAGAATTTCCAGCTAGAAATGGAGGAACTGTTAGTTTCCCTGGGTAATAATTAAGCTCGACCAGCGTGCAATGTGTATAGAGACGGGTTTCACGTGTTTAGCTGGATCCATCGGTTGTTCCTCCATGCAAGGAATTTTACCCGGCGGCTGCCAACAGGAATGAATAACGCGAGGGAAACAGCTGTGGCAGCCAGAAATTTCCAGATAGCTGTGAAAATGTTCGGACGATAGCGACGGTCAAATATCGACGAACAGCTCGCGATCGTTGCTATAATACCGCTACCAATAATTTGCGATCCACTGACCGCAGAGCGAGCGTTTCGTTTATGGTCGCATTACTGTACGTGGAAACGCGGCCGTTGTTTCTCTGAAAGACACGTACAGGATGTCGAAATACGAGTAAAAATATTCTCTATACTCAGTCTAGGATCATACGTACCCTCGAAGCGTTATAAACTACAAATTGCTCTTTCAAATTTATGGTGAGTGATTTCACGACTGCAAAATTAGAAGTTGTAACTTCCCTTCCTTACGACAGAAGTAACTGCATCTTGAGAGTGTAAGAGGCGAAGCTGAAGATTTCATCGTACCAGTAAAAGTTTAAGAGGAAAGGTGCAAAAATTGTCAAAGTTTGTTGAGAATCTGTCGAGTACCAATAAAATGTAGCGCAAGGATACGAGTGTTCTTCTTACGCTATAATCTTTTGTGTTTATGGAAGCGAACATAGTTGATATAGCTTAGATATTGACGTAGCAATTGCATCGTCCCTTAGCATCGAATAAAGGAGGGATACAACGTCGACGAAGTCAGGAGCAAGGTGCAATATGGTCTCGTAGAAAATAATAAAAGTTGTTTGTCGATAAAATGGTCACGAAGCTCGTACCTTATCGCTAGCACCTTAAACCAGCCATAAACTATTTATATTCTCATTCTTCTTGGTTTCATGGGTTGCAATTTTTCACACGCTACTTACGTATCCTTTTTATGCAAAGATACTGGTTTTTCTTGCCGTCAAGCCGCACAGTTTATCGTAACCTTTTGTTGCGCTTCATGTATATTTTTCTTACGTGACAATGCATTTTTCTACCTTTATGCCTACATTTTTTCTTCATGCTTGTCTACTCGCAACCTTTTTGCTTCTACGCGTGCCGGTCTGTCATCCATTCGCTTATCTTTCCGCAATTTCTTTCCACCTTCGAAATGGTCATGAAAATCGTTCGGGCTAAACAGATATTTCAACAGAGGTGTAACGAATAAATCAATTATCCGATCCGTTGGCAACCGCGTGTAACGGCGAGCTTATGAGCGCGACGTTTCAAAAAATCCGTGTAACGTCACGGGATAATTAATTACGAATTATAAACGGCCGATTAATTGTAGCTGCGATCCAGGGCAATAAATATTCGCGCAGATGGATACGGAGGATCGAAGAGAGTCGTTAATCACGACGCATCGAATTGTTGAACGGAAAGAGGCGAGGAGCGAGGTGGTCTGTCGGCTCGCGTCTCGTTCTACTGTCTGACGCGATGGTTTCGTTGGCCATTTGGCATGAAAACGTGTACGAGATTTAACTACCAAAATCTGCATAATTTAGTGTAATGCAGTGTAACGTGAGCCATCGTAACACGAACTGCACGTACGTTCAGGTATTTTTCAACAAGCAATCGATAAATCATCGCGAGGCAACGTGATTGCTTGGCTTCTTGCTGCGTTTAATGGGTCGCCATATATTTTCCAGCAATAAGTGGCAAGCCCTTATCTGTGTTTGATGTACGGCCGAAAGCAGCCCCGTGCACCACGTCCAGGTCGGTTTACGGTTTCCGAATAAGGAACAATATAACGCGGCTTGGCACGCGATTAGTCCATTCTCACGGTCGGATCGCTTTCGTTTTATACTTCAAACTAATATTAATGATTTCAAAGTGGATACACTGTAAATCATGTCAGGGAGAGGGTGCTTTCGTTTAGGTAGATTACCATGTGTGTACAAATAAAGGGCTAACGACGACAGCGACGAGAGCCGACGTGCGTCACAACGCATCCCACTCGGGTTAATTTGCAAATGGTTCCGGGATTAATCACGGCGGACATTAAAAATTCTAGCTGCGAAATTCTCAGGAGCACGGGCTCAACCGTGCCGCAGACTCGAACAGAATACTAATACAAGGTTGGCTTTGATGCCGTGCATTATGGTTCGTTTCGAGATTAATTAATTTGCTAATTTAGATTAGCACGAATCTATTAAAACTCAATGATAACTGTGCGGAATCAAATGTTAATTATGCAGTGACACTACAATTATGCATTTATAAATAATACAAAATTAGAAATAAAATTGTAATTAATTTATATAATCAACTTATATTACTTTATGCATGTAAATATCATAATTAATCAATTCACAATTATGTTTTAGCTGGTTCTCTGCGAAAAAAGATCAAAGAATGTGATCGAAACAGGATCGAAGCACGCGCCGGCAATTTGAAAGTGCGAACTTTTTCGCGCGTGCACCCGCGCATGCGCCGAGTTGCTGTAGCGGCCATTAGTGCCGCGCAGCCGTGTAGTTTCCCGCCATCCGCCATGACAGACCCACGCGCGGAATTTTGTCTACATTTGGTGAGTTAAAATTAATAGTTTTTTGTAGAGTTTTGCAACAAAATTGTATGAACATGTGAATTACATGATAAGGAACCTGTGTACGTAAAGGCACATTCGAGAGAAACTTGTTTGAACAATAAATCATACAATTTTGTTTGGCGTCGTTTCGGAACGACAACGCTATTCGCAACGACAATATCGTTTGAAATCACAACAGATCAGTATAGATTTGTGTTTATTTCTCATTTTCAGTATTGTGGAGAACAGTGAACTGTGCGTGTCGGACGTATTTCGTGCGATTATATTGATACAAGTTCGATCTCTGTTTAACCTGTGCATTCTCAACTTTCGCTTTCATGATAGGCGTCCATCCCATGAGTCATTGCGGCCAATCAAGGTAGGACTAGCAATACAATTCTATACAAACAGATGACGCGACGAATGCTTCCCGTATTAAAGCGAGTTGATATCAATATTTTGCGACTTGTATTTATCATTGGTATTATTCAGTTGTTCATTTAATATGATTAACAAAAATTTCGACGTTCAATATATATTTTTGATACCGGAAAGGCAATGGGTCTATCACCGTTCGTTTTTCTCGTTCATCGGTGTTAAATTGATTTAATTCGCGAGGTTAGGTTAACCCAAAGAGGAATAAAAATCACGTTTCGAGGCTCCGAAATGAATTTTATCGATTAAATCGAATTCCCTGGCTAACACGGGGGAATTGTCGTTTACGTTGCCTTTTGCCATGGCGGAAATTATCGGCCAGAAATTGTATTAGACACGGTTATCGGTCCTTCGGGAAGTTTCCTTCTAGGTTATACGTGTGTGACCGATGTCACGAGACTGTCAGTGCTGACTCGCCTCGAAAATTTTCAATTTCCAACGTGTTCGTGTTTTAACTCGTCGGTTAGTTGGACCGTGGGTATGATTACAAATTGCCTACTGCAAACTCTTGATTTGTTCATTCCGCGGCAAATGATAGCAAGTTTGTTCGTCTGCTCATTAAACGTGCACATTTGCGGCGTCCCGAAAACCTTTTCCATCCCTCTCTCGCTCCCTATTCGTTAGCCCGTATAAACATCATCGGATGGGAATATTTCGAAAATGGGTTAAACTAATTCCCCGAACTTCCGGAAGATTTTATCGAGCGAACGCGACAGAGAGTCGGATGATTTCCTAGGAACTGGTTCGCGAAGCGGAAAGCAAAACGGAGACAGAGGTGAAAGGTTAGAAAGAAAGGTAGCGAACGTCGTGAGGGAGAGAAAGAGAAGCTAAGCTGTTAGTAAAATAATAGGAACTTTATCTGGAAGTTTGCTCGGAAACAATTATATGGGGTTTCAAGCGAGAGATGAGGTTACCATGAAAGAGAGTAGAAGCGAGATAGGGTGCAGGAAAACGTGAAACCGAGAGAAAAAAACGGAAAGAAAGGGGATGGATATTTATATTCATTAGAAAGTAAGAAGACAGGCTTGGACAGAGCGGGAATATAGCTTGGAAACGCTTAATGGGGGTTTACACCCGCGGCTTTTCGCTTCGGATAGCCATCTACGCGAGCAGAGAATGTTTTGACCTGGTTTCGAATCAGTTTCGGGTGTTTCTATAATTTCCCATGTTACATTCCCCCGTTGCATTTACAAACAATTTTCCTTTTACCGGACAAATATCCATTTCTTTTCCCTATTCTTTGAGTATTGCGTTTTCTGCATCCCTCGAAACAAGCAAATTTTGAATATGCTGTTTAAAGTTACTAGTTAGTTGAGGAATCATCTCGATCTTGTTGCTTCCACCCTTGAGGGATGGTAGGGTACGAAGCCACTACGGTACGAAGTACAAGAAGTTTCGAAGTCTCTGAATCCGGGAAGAAGTTTCGAGACATCGATTAGCGAGATTGAAAACTTCCGTCTCCTCCTGGTGCATTACGATTCTGGCGGTCGTGGGACGCGAAGGGAAACCGAGGGGGTGGTTACTAAAAACCCGAGGCTAATGGTTTCCGTAGCCGTCAAAGAGACATCGATTAACATTCCTTGTTTTTCGTTCGAGCCTCGGTTCCTACTTTTCCGAGTTTTTTCCCCTCGGCTTCGAGCCGTGTTTCTTTTTACTTACTTTCCGATTCCATAGAACCGCAGAAAATCTCAGTTAACGAATGGCTGACTCGGTCGATCGTTGAATTTGCTACGTTTACGTAACGCGGGGATCGTTGCGAAGCGAGTTGTTGCGTCGATTCGAAGTTTCCACTTGCAACAGGGTCGACGATGGTTCAGGAAAAAGACATTTATTAAATTGATGCCATCGTAAAAGCTTGACGGTGTCGTTGCGCTTGATATTCTTCGATAGAAGCGTCGATACGTCCGAAGGGATGCATCGTTTTCAACGAGTCGGTCCAATGAAAAATTGACGTTACTGTTGGCACAATCTTTTCTGCTCCGGTTGCCTTAATCATCGAATTTTTGTCATTCAATTTCTCAGTTTTCTTTGCCTAGTGTACGAGTGCATGAAACGGTAGGATGTTTCTTGCATTGGTTTAATCTTTTCCATGGTATGGATGTTAGTATGCAGATGAGGAAAGTTGTTCTCCTACGAAATTATCAGAAAGAGCATTCGTCAGGGAATGTCTCAGAGTTAAGCTCCTGTTTCGTTGCGGAACTGAGAGCAACTTTGAGCAACTATAAGTGACAATTTAGCTCGAGGCAGTTTGATAATTTCCAACCAAGTAGCCTCAGATACTAGTACAGTATATTTGAGGTGTAAAAAGTTAAAAGTGAGAAAAGAGATTGTTTTTCCAGTATAGAAATTGATTCTCTGATAGGAAATAATGATTTTAGCAAGCTAAGAAAAGTTTCGAAGAAGTTTCTATAATTTAACGAGGTGCCCGGCACCTTTGGGTTTTTAATGGCCCATCTCTCAACGTTACGAATTATTATTGTAGCTACTCAGATACTTCCTCAACATTTTCTTTTATACTTTGATCGGAGTTTGCGAAATTCTTGCACTTCTGGTAGCTGTACCAAGAACTTTTCCGACATGGTAAATAATATATAAACCAGAAGTTTTTGTTCGCGAATAAATTTGGCAACTTTGTTCAACAAGAGTTTCTCAAGTTTCTCATTAATTGGCCATAGCTTTTCGGAATAGGTGTATTAACTTTAAGCTGAACATTCTTTTGATCTACTTTATAAAGTAGAGATACCTTACCAATCTTATCCGATAATTTAGAATTAAATTCCTAAGAATTTCTCCGAACAATATCTTCGAGATAAGTTCGAAGTTTTTATTGGAAAGCGGTGCCAGTTGTGGCTTCCTCGATATCAAACGACGATCAGACACACGAGGAATTTCCACGTGAACAACGTTGTATCGCGCGTCATTTATCGGGACAAACGAGTCTCTTCGCGAAGGTACGCGGATCCATTCGATCCATCGATCCTTCGTAAGCAGAGCCGCGACTATTTCCATCGTTTTCGTGTGTCCGTATGCAAAGCCGTGTCGTTCAGACGGAATCGATGCTTCATGAATTTACAGCGAGCATCCCAAACGAGTCGGTCGTTTCGCGAAACACCGCGTTACAACCGATCCCCTTGTGAATTGTCGCGATTTGTAAACGATAAATGCTTTCCTCCGAAGGCAGATCAAACTTTTTTCAATGCCGGATCTCTATAAATTTGTAACATTACATATTAGATCATCCATCGTATTAATTCTCGAACAACGAACGCGTAGACAATTCAAAGGAGAGAAAAGTGTAGAATTGAAAAGCGTGTTTGCAGGAAAGGATCGAGTAGCTCGATTTAATTTCCAGAATTTATCCGAGGCCGCAACCGGTTCCATTACTAACTTGTCCATCATGTGCAATTGCCTGTCCAATTTCCAGTCGGGATACGATCGTAAAGGAACTTTCACGAGATCGAATCAATCCGAGTCTTAAAGGAATCAATATAAAATCGTCCAACCGACCAACAGTCCCCGAAGCAATCGACGAAATACGAGCTTTAGCGTTCTGTTAGCGATGGAACGATTTAAGAACGTCAATTCAACTTGAAAACCTTCCATTGTGTACCGCTTCCCTTTCGCCGATCAATTTAAATTAAATTATGTTGTAAAATCGAATTACGATGCTGACAATGTATAGATTTAATTAACCAGGACGTTCGGTCCGCAACAGGTTGTTAAGGGTTCCAATTACGTGTATCATCTAATTCGTTTCCTGCCAGTTAACTAGAGTATAGAAAGTTTTTCGAACGGTAGTTGATCCAGAAGATAAACAAATGAAAGCACGGTTTAGGGACGATTTCCCAGGCCACTAAAAGGACTTGCTGGATAATCTAGGCTGCAGTGCATTTAACGTGAGAATTAATCCATGCCGTGCCACGGAGGAGACACAATTATTACCACGCTCACGTCTCGATTCCTTACGTGATCCTCGACGAAGGTCTAACCACGGGTAAACAGAGCCAGCTGAATAGACGGATATTCATACCGTTCCACCCTATCAGAAGGGTTCTTCGATGCGGCCACCGTTCGAGACTTCCATAATGATGAACCAAAGTCCGTAGCATGCATAGCCGATATGTTACCTCTGCCATGATGGCGTCTGGTCTTCTGTAGATAGGCTGTGAGCAGCAGTTGCATTGCTTTTCTTCCATATTAAGTAGCGACTAGTCCAGGGTGACTGTTGCATCTTTGGCTTCCATTCGAATTAGGCAGTTCTTAATTAAAAGTGACGACGCAATAATAATTAGAAAACGAATTAGGCGACGTCTCGGCTGGTTACGATTCTTTCGGGGAGAGATGGAAATACGCCTCGTTAAGTCAGATTTCAATTAGTCACGGTTAATGGCCGTTCGACGGTCTACGTGTTCGAGGTTAATGTGATTTTTAATTTTCCGGCCTGTCTGTAATCCTTTAACGTAATTACGCGTTCCATTGGAAAAACCATTTGAGGTAATTACACCGCGGGGCTGGCGCGCGTGAACACACCCTTCTATGCGCTGATACATTACCCCTTTTAATCGGCTATTTAATAATTCCGCGTTTCGTGATTTTGAGGGCCGATGACGGTGCACGTTTCTTTTTTTTCCTTTCTTTTTTTAATACGAGCGAATGAATCGGCCGCGCACAAACTCGCACACGAGATGCTACAATTCAATGGATACACGCGATACCTATTCCCTGTCTCGCGACGATGTCACGGTTTTAATCAACGCGAAACCTTTGATTAATGTTCTCCACCATGAACGAGGTTTATAATCTGCCTCGACCTTGACGAATTGGATTAGCGATTTCACAACAACGTTGATTTAACAATTGATCCTTCGATACTCGTGATGGTTAGAAAAGTAGTAACTTGAAAAATCGTTGAATAGGAAATAAAGTGAATGGCATAGTAGTTGT